GCCGCCGCCGCCCGCCGCGCCGCCGCCGCAGCCGCCGCCGCCGCGCCGCCGCCGCGCCCCCGCCTGCCAAACCGCCTCCGCAGCCGTCACCGCCACCGCCGCCGCCGCCGCCGTGCCGCCGCCGCCGCAGCCGCCGCCGCCGCCGCCGCCGCCGCCGCAGCCGCCGCAGGCGTTGCCGCCGCCGCCAAGTGTACTCTGTATTGTTGTTTGACAAGGATGGTGGGGGGGGCCGCATCGGTTTGGTTGCGCATGTTCCGAATTTGGAGGCAGAGTGTGTTTAGTTTGTTGTTTTACAAAGAATGGTGGGGGGGGTTGTCATGGACCCTGGTTGGCCCCCAGTCGCCTGGGGGAAAGGGTGTTTACTATTAGGGAACAGTGATCAAATTGTGCGTGCAGAGCCAGAGCTTTAATTTAGTCATCAACCTCGCCCTTCTCTTGGTGTGATCAACCGGAGAACTCCCTTCGTCTCCGCTTTTGCTCCTCGGTGCGCCGCTCGCGCTCCCTTCCGGCTCTTATCCTTCGGCCCGCTCTCTATCTTTAGCCGCTCCCTGCTCCAAAGGTCCGTCATTCGCTTGGCCCCGGAGGTGGCCCTCGAGGCTTTGGCATCGGACTTCCCCTCCTCTCTCCTTCGCCCCCCCCCCGCGCAACTGTCCAGACCGTTGCGCTCCCCGCGAAAATTTCGCGAGAGTCCGGGCCCCCCGCGAAAGATTCGCGAGAGTCCCGCGAAAGATTCGCATGAATTTTTCGCGCCGTGCAATGTCCTCCGAGGCCCCCCCCCGGCTACCTCGCCCCCGTGCAACCCCCGTGGGCGATTCGCGAAGGCTGTTCCCGCGCGAGACCACCCCGGGCGACCCGTGAAGAAACTGAGCGGCGGAGGCCCCCCTGGGCGACCCCGCCGCTCGGATCGACCCCCCCCGGGCGAGTCGGCCGTCTTGGAACCCTCCGATGCGATCCAAGCCACCCGCGCCCTCCCAGGCGGCGAGCGGGGGCGCCTACTTGAAAAAATCCCGCCGAAATTCCCCCTTCTGAGGGAACTTTGGCAGGGGCGATCCGTGCCGGGGCGGCAATCGAACCCCCCGGGCGATCGACCGCGGCATATCCCTCCCACGTAAAAACACACACACACACACACACACAAAACAAACTATTCACAACCAGTAATAATGATAATATTCATAAAAAAGACGGAACATAGCAGCAATAATAAACATACCAGTAATACTAACAATTGCAAACACCCGGTAATACAACAAACACGCACATAAACATAGCACATCTGGCTCTGATTTTGCACACCTATGTCAAGACTCCCTCCCCGCCCACAAACCGTCTCGCTCACTCCCACCCGCGCTCCCAACACATACGTAGCACCCGACCCTGGCCCGACGCAGCGTATGCGGCAGTCGTCCTTGGATGGCCAGCTACTGGGGGCGAATCCGCCGCCGCCTCCGCCGCCGCCCGCCGCCGCCGCCGCCGCGCCGCCGCCGCCGCCGCCGCCGCCGCCGCCTCTGTCCGCCAACGCTGCCGCCCGCCGCCGCCGCCGCACCCGCCCGCGCGCCGAATCGCCGCCGCCGCCGCCGCCGCCGCCACCGCTGCCGCGCCGCCGCCGCCGCCGACGCCGCCGCCGCCGCCGCCCCCCCCGCCGCCGCCGCCGCCACCGCCGCCGCCACCGCCGCAGCAGCCCCGCAGCCGCGGCCCCCGCCGCAACCGCCGCAGCCGCCGCCGCCGCCAAGTGTACTCTATATTGTTTTTTGACAGGGATGGTGGGCGCATCGGGTTCGCTGCGCATGTTCCGAAATTTGAGGTTGAGTGTGTTTTCTATTGTTTTTGTTACAAGGGATGGTGGGGGGGGTGCCCGCATGGACCCCGGTTGGCTCCCAGTCGCCTGGGGGATGGGGTGTATACTAATGGGGAACAGTGGTCAAGACATTCTCCAGAGAACAAGCCGTCTAGCTCACTCCCACCCGCCCTCCAAACACATAGGTAACACCCGAGACTCAGTATGTTCCGCGGTCGTCTTTTGATGGGCAACGACGGGGAACCAACACCGACCCCATGTGCGCGACGTTGGGGCGAGGTGCGCCACGCGTGCCAATCGCGCCTCGCGCGCCAGGCACCCCCGGGGCCCGAGCGTGCCAGGCACGCCTAGTGCGCCAGAGGCTCCCTCCAGCCGCGTCAGGTGCGCCACGTCCGATGCACGTGCAAAGCGTGCCTGCGCATATGACAGCACACATCCGCAAACATGCCAACCCCCACCATCCCTGTCGAAAACCAACGTTCATCATTGTGTCTGGTGGGCCTGCGCACAGCAGGCCATGCACCACCACCCCCGCCGTCCCTGACAAGAACCACTTGACAATGTTCGCGGGGCGGCCGCGCACTTAGCCGCGAACTGCATGTTGTATTGTGTTTGTGGTAGCCCTGCGCGTAGCAGGTAATATGCTGACGCCCGCCGTCCCTTTCGAAAAACAATACAAAGTGCCCGCGGGCTTCACGAACATGACTCCAGAGTTTGCCCTTTACTGCATTGTGTATTGATTTTTGACAGGGGTGGTGGGGGGGCCGCATCGGGTTGGTTGCGAATGCTCCGAATTTAGATGCCGAATGCGTTTGTATTTTTCCCAACCATCCTGTGGTGTTGGGTCCTCGTTTTGGAGACACGGTGCCCCGCGTTCCTCTCCTGCTCCTCCTCTCCTCCTCCCCCTCCTTGCCTCTGCTCTCGGCGCACCTCTCACGCGTTTCGTAGCCCCATAGGGAGCTCCACCGAAGGCCCCAGTGGGGGTGTTCGCATGCGGTTCCCCCACCCAGGGCAGCGTTTCGTGGCCCCATAGGGAGCTCCACCGAAGGCCCCAGTGGGGGTGTTCGCATGCGGTTCCCCCACCCAGGGCAGCGTTTCGTGGCCCCATAGGGAGCTCCACCGAAGGCCCCAGTGGGGGTGTTCGCATGCGGTTCCCCCACCCAGGGCAGCGTTTCGTGGCCCCATAGGGAGCTCCACCGAAGGCCCCAGTGGGGGTGTTCGCATGCGGTTCCCCCACCCAGGGCAGCGTTTCGTAGCCCCATAGGGAGCTCCACCGAAGGCCCCAGTGGGGGTGTTCGCATGCGGTTCCCCCACCCAGGGCAGCGTTTCGTGGCCCCATAGGGAGCTCCACCGAAGGCCCCAGTGGGGGTGTTCGCATGCGGTTCCCCCACCCAGGGCAGCGTTTCGTAGCCCCATAGGGAGCTCCACCGAAGGCCCCAGTGGGGGTGTTCGCATGCGGTTCCCCCACCCAGGGCAGCGTTTCGTGGCCCCATAGGGAGCTCCACCGAAGGCCCCAGTGGGGGTGTTCGCATGCGGTTCCCCCACCCAGGGCAGCGTTTCGTGGCCCCATAGGGAGCTCCACCGAAGGCCCCAGTGGGGGTGTTCGCATGCGGTTCCCCCACCCAGGGCAGCGTTTCGTGGCCCCATAGGGAGCTCCACCGAAGGCCCCAGTGGGGGTGTTCGCATGCGGTTCCCCCACCCAGGGCAGCGTTTCGTAGCCCCATAGGGAGCTCCACCGAAGGCCCCAGTGGGGGTGTTCGCATGCGGTTCCCCCACCCAGGGCAGCGTTTCGTGGCCCCATAGGGAGCTCCACCGAAGGCCCCAGTGGGGGTGTTCGCATGCGGTTCCCCCACCCAGGGCAGCGTTTCGTGGCCCCATAGGGAGCTCCACCGAAGGCCCCAGTGGGGGTGTTCGCATGCGGTTCCCCCACCCAGGGCAGCGTTTCGTAGCCCCATAGGGAGCTCCACCGAAGGCCCCAGTGGGGGTGTTCGCATGCGGTTCCCCCACCCAGGGCAGCGTTTCGTGGCCCCATAGGGAGCTCCACCGAAGGCCCCAGTGGGGGTGTTCGCATGCGGTTCCCCCACCCAGGGCAGCGTTTCGTAGCCCCATAGGGAGCTCCACCGAAGGCCCCAGTGGGGGTGTTCGCATGCGGTTCCCCCACCCAGGGCAGCGTTTCGTGGCCCCATAGGGAGCTCCACCGAAGGCCCCAGTGGGGGTGTTCGCATGCGGTTCCCCCACCCAGGGCAGCGTTTCGTAGCCCCATAGGGAGCTCCACCGAAGGCCCCAGTGGGGGTGTTCGCATGCGGTTCCCCCACCCAGGGCAGCGTTTCGTGGCCCCATAGGGAGCTCCACCGAAGGCCCCAGTGGGGGTGTTCGCATGCGGTTCCCCCACCCAGGGCAGCGTTTCGTAGCCCCATAGGGAGCTCCACCGAAGGCCCCAGTGGGGGTGTTCGCATGCGGTTCCCCCACCCAGGGCAGCGTTTCGTGGCCCCATAGGGAGCTCCACCGAAGGCCCCAGTGGGGGTGTTCGCATGCGGTTCCCCCACCCAGGGCAGCGTTTCGTGGCCCCATAGGGAGCTCCACCGAAGGCCCCAGTGGGGGTGTTCGCATGCGGTTCCCCACCCAGGGCAGCGTTTCGTGGCCCCATAGGGAGCTCCACCGAAGGCCCCAGTGGGCCTCGCATGCGGTTCCCCCACCCAGGGCAGCGTTCGTGGCCCCATGGGGAGCTCCACCGAAAGCCCCCGTGGCGCAGTTCGCATGCGCTTCCCCCACCCAGGGCAGCGTTTCGTGGCACCATAGGGAGCTCCACCGAAGGCCCCAGTGGCGCAGTTCGCATGCGGTTCCCCCACCCAGGGCAGCGTTTCGTAGCCCCATAGGGAGCTCCACCGAAGGCCCGCCCCGGTGGCGCAGTCCGCATGCGGTTCCCCCATCCAAGGCAGCGCTTCGTGGCCCCATATGGAGCCCCACCGAAAGCGGCACCCACAACGCGTTACCAACAATTGCTTATGGTTGGGTCTTTCGCCAGGATATTTTTTGATAGGGATGGTGGGGGGGTCGGCCTCATGGTGTGCGCATGGTTCCGGGTTGGCTGCCGGCCGGGTGGGGGAGGGGGTGTTTATTAATAGGGAACAATGATACACCTTTCTCCGAGGGGGGAGAAGGGGGTGGATGAGGAAACTCCTTGAACCACCTACGCCCTAAGGGCTGATTGGATTATTGTGGCATGGTCGCTCACAGCTTAGTCGTCTTGTTCACCAGTGGGGGATGAAGTGTTCTATTTGGCCTCTGGACAAATGTAAGCAGGACTGCTTGACCAACTCCCTAGACAGGTATTGGAGACAATGTAAAGAGAGGCGGTGTGGTTTCAAAGTATTTCCTGAACATCTTGCATCCTGCACTTCCGGCCCGAAGTATTTTCGTGACATTGGTTTGAGCAAGGTTATCATTCTGGAGCGCAGAAATCACACTGCGCAGTATGAGTCATTGGCAAAAGCTTATGCTACAGGCGACTGGGGATGGGGCCTTGGTGGGAGTGTGGACCCCGAGTGGCGGAACAAACACCCCCAAGAAGAATTCGAGAGATCGGTGAACGATTGGTACAGCACGCTACGAGAGCTCTACAACACCTCACTGCACGTCTACGTGGAAGATTATATTGCGCTTCCTGTTCAACGGAGACGAGTGTCGTATTACCTGAAGTCCGACATTTCATCGCCCTCGCTCACTTAATTGTCAGTATGTATGGCCTTCTGGGGGTTTAATTTTGAGTCCGAATTCAGGTTGAGCACAGTCTCCCGAGCAGATCTATCATGTCTTTCGACGGGCCCGGCGACTTCCATTTAGGAGCGTTCATACATATATATATATATATATGTATACACACACACACGCACACATAACGGGGAACCCGGTCCGGGGGCCGGGGGCCACGACCACGACCACAAATGTGGGGCCAGGGCGTCGTTTTCCTTGTGTTTTTACACGGTTTCGGCGACCCGGGGCCACTTGGGCCCCAAGAGGCTGCAGGGAGGCCCCAGGAGGCCGCAGCGATGGCTCCAGACGCCTTTCAAGACGTCTCCCATGACGCCAAGAAGGCCCCCGAAGGCCCCGAAGACGCTCCAAAAGGCACCCCGAGAGAGGCCACTATGCAACATTCGTTGACCTCCTATGGAGAAACTGATATTTTTGGCTGATATGTTTGGCGTGTTCGCCTTTGGGCGTCCACTGCGTCCAAGACGGCACAAGAGGCACCCAAGCCGGTCGAGGATGCCCCCAAGAGGGCCCCAAGACGGCCCACGAGGGGGCCAAGACAGCCCACGAGGCGCCCAAACCGGCCAAGAACGCCCCAAGGCGGCGCCCAAGACGGGGACGAGGAACCGGAAATCCACCCCAATTGGCCCAAGAGACCCCCAGGAGACCCCAAGAGGCTCCAAGAAGGGGCCCAGAAGCCCCAAGAGGCCCCCATGAGACCCGAAAAAACATGACAAAAGACTTCGAAGACGCCCCAAGAGGCACCCCGACCAAGACGGCCCACGAGGGGGCCAAGACGGCCCACGAGACGCTTAAACCGCCCAAGAACGCTCCAAGGCGGCGCCCAAGAAGGGGACGAGGAACCGGAAAATTTCGCCTTTTGGCCCAAGATGCCCCCAGGAGACCCCAAGAGGCTCCAAGAAGGGGCCCAGAAGCCCCAAGAGGCTACCAGGAGACCCGAAAAAACACCAAAAGCGGCCCCGAAGACGCCCCAAGAGGCACCCTAAGAGAGCCCCAGACAAGCAAACATCGTCGATTTCCAATTGGGAAACTGATATGTTTGGCGTGTTCGCCTTTTGGGTTTTCACTGCGTCCAAGACGGCCCAAGAGGCACCCAAGACGGTCGAGGATGCCCCCAAGAGGGCTTCAAGACGGCCCACGAGGGGGCCAAGGCGGCCCACGAGACGCTTAAACCGCCCAACAACGCTCCAAGTCGGCGCCCAAGACGGGGACGAGGAACCAGAAATTCGCGCCATTTGGCCCAGAAGACCCCCAGGAGACCCCAAGAGGCTCCAAGAAGGGGCCCAGAAGCCCCAAGAGGCCTTTATGAGACCCGCAAAAACACTGGAAGAGGCCCCGAAGACGCCCCAAGAGGCACCCCAAGAGAGCCTCAATATGCAACAATCATTGATGTTCTATACGGAATCTGATATGTTTGGCGTGTTCGCCTTTTGGGCGCCCTCTGCGTCCAAGACGGCCCAATAGGCACCCAAGACGGTCGAGGATGCCCCCAAGAGGGCTTCAAGACGGCCCACGAGGGGGCCAAGGCGGCCCACGAGACGCTTAAACCGCCCAACAACGCCCCAAGGCGGCGCCCAAGACGGGGACGAGGAACCAGAAATTCGCGCCATTTGGTTCAAAAGACCCCCAGGAGACCCCAAGAGGCTCCAAGAAGGGGCCCAGAAGCCCCAAGAGGCCTTTATGAGACCCGCAAAAACACTGAAAGAGGCCCCGAAGGCGCCCCAAGAGGCACCCCAAGAGAGCCCCAATAAGCACAACTCGTGGATGTTCTATACGGAATCTGATATGTTTGGCGTGTTCGCTTTTTGGGCGTCCTCTGCGTCCAAGACGGCCCAAGAGGCACCCAAGCCGGTCGAGGATGCCCCCAAGAGGGCTCCAAGGCGGCCCACGAGGGGGCCAAGACAGCCCACGATGCGCCGTAACCGCCCACGAACGCCCTCAGGCGGCGCCCAAGACGGGGACGAGGAACCGAAAATGCGAACCATTTGGCCCAAGAGGCCCCCAGGAGACCCCAAGAAGCTCCAAGAAGGGGCCCAGAAGCCCGAAGGGGCCTTTTCTGAGACCCGTGAAAACACCGAAAGAGGCTCCGATAACGCCCCAAGAGGCACCCCAATAGAGCCCCAATAAGCACACATCGTAGATGTTTTATACGGAATCTGATATGTTTGGCGCGTTCGCCTTTTGGGCGTCCTCTACGTCCAAGACGGCCCAAGAGGCACCCAAGCCGGTCGAGGATGCCCCCAAGAGGGCTCCAAGACGGCCCACGAGGGGGCCAAGGCGGCACCCGATGCGACGTAACCGCCCAAGAACGCCCTAAGGCGGCGCCCAAGACGGGGACGAGGAACCGACAATGCGAACCATTTGGCCCAAGAGGCCCCCAGGAGACCCCAAGAAGCTCCAAGAAGGGGCCCAGAAGCCCGAAGGGGCCTTTCTGAGACCCGTGAAAACACCGAAAGAGGCTCCGATAACGCCCCAAGAGGCACCCCAATAGAGCCCCAATAAGCACACATCGTAGATGTTTTATACGGAATCTGATATGTTTGGCGCGTTCGCCTTTTGGGCGTCCTCTACGTCCAAGACGGCCCAAGAGGCACCCAAGCCGGTCGAGGATGCCCCCAAGAGGGCTCCAAGACGGCCCACGAGGGGGCCAAGGCGGCACCCGATGCGACGTAACCGCCCAAGAACGCCCTAAGGCGGCGCCCAAGACGGGGACGAGGAACCGACAATGCGAACCATTTGGCCCAAGAGGCCCCCAGGAGACCCCAAGAAGCTCCAAGAAGGGGCCCAGAAGCCCGAAGGGGCCTTTCTGAGACCCGTGAAAACACCGAAAGAGGCTCCGATAACGCCCCAAGAGGCACCCCAATAGAGCCCCAATAAGCACACAACTCGTGGATGTTCTATACGGAATCTGATATGTTTGGCGTGTTCGCCTTTTGGGCGTCCTCTGCGTCCAAGACGGCCCAAGAGGCACCCAAGCCGGTCGAGGATGCCCCCAAGAGGGCTCCAAGGCGGCCCACGAGGGCGCCCAGACGGCACCCGATGCGCCGTAACCGCCCAAGAACGCCCCCAGGCGGCGCCCAAGACGGGGACGAGGAACCGAACATGCGAACCATTTGGCCCAAGAGGCCCAGGAGACCCCAAGAAGCTCCAAGAAGGGGCCCAGAAGCCCCAAGAGGCCTGTATGAGACCCGTAAAAACACCGAAAGAGGCCCCGAAGACGCCCCAAGAGGCACCCCAATAGAGCCCCAATAAGCACACATCGTAGATGTTCTATACGGAATCTGATATGTTTGGCGTGTTCGCCTTTTGGGCGTCCTCTGCGTCCAAGACGGCCCAAGAGGCACCCAAGCCGGTCGAGGATGCCCCCAAGAGGGCTCCAAGGCGGCCCACGAGGGCGCCAAGACGGCACCCGATGCGACGTAACCGCCCAAGAACGCCCCCAGGCGGCGCCCAAGACGGGGACGAGGAACCGAAAATGCGAGCCATTTGGCCCGAAATGCCCCAAGAGGCCCCCAAGAGACCAGAAAAAAACACCAAAAGGGGTCCCGAAACAGCCCCCCAGTGGGCCCCCCAAAACGGCCTAAGAGAGCCCCAGGGCGCGCCCAAGAGGGTCGACCAGAGAGCTGGTCCGATTTTCCACACTACACAGGGTCCGTCCCCGGCGGTGCCTCAAGCAGGTGTTGCCACTGGAGTCCTCACTTGCCTGAGACAAACTCCAAGCATTTTTTCGCACAGCAAGTCCTGTGCCTGTGACACGCTAGAACCTACAAGCGCGCGAAGCTCACGCGTGGTTCGTACACACATGTGTATATATATGTATACACATACATACACACATATTTATATCTGTATATATATATATATACATATATATATATAACATGGAAGAATTCCAGGTCCCCGGCCTGGGGGGGCCGTCCACCTCAAAACCATCGGGCCCCCTTTTTTGATACCCCCGCCCTGGCGCCTCCAGGGGGCCTCAGACGGCCCAGGAGGCCTCCAGGAGGCCTCCAAGACGGCCCCAGCAAGCACCCAAGATGACCATGAGGGCTCCGACATGCCACAATATCGGTCCAAGACGCTCAAGATTGTCCCTAGAAGGTCCAAGAGGCTTCTAAGACGCTCCAACAGGCCTCCAAGAGGCTTCTTCAAGAGGGCCACAAGAGGCAACAATTGCTTGTTTTTCGAAAGGGGTTTTGAGCATTTGTTGTGGTTCTCACCTTTTCGGCTTCCCGACGCTCCAAGATAGCTGAAGAGGCGCCCAAGATTGCCCAAAGACGGCCCAAGAAGCCCCCAAGACGGCCCCAAGGCAGCCCGAGAGGGACCCAAGCAACCCAAGAGGCCTCCAAAACGGTACAAGATGGCCCCAAGACGGCTCTAAGAAGGGGCCCCGACAGTGAATCCGAACGGACCTTTCGGGCCTTCGGCCCCAAAAGGCCCCTAGGAGACTCCAAGAAGCGCACCAGCGGCCCCCAAGACGCCGCCAGAAGCCCCCGAAGGGCTCCCAAGATGCATGTCACAGGAGCACGACAAACAGATCCCACGGGCCATGCTGGTGCTTTTTCCCCATTATATATAAATATATAGATATCGGAGGTTAGGGGGTGAGATCGCAGTGAAACGGAGACCCCCCACCGGGAAATCGGTTTCGGTTTCGTGTTTGTGCCGTGCGTGCGGGCGAGGCGAAGCTGCGCGTGATCCTCTTGTAGCTAGGCCGAAGTAGGAGCGAAAATCCGTTCCCGTCCGCCGGTGGCTGGGAGGTGTCCCAGTTAGGCCAGGCGGTGTTCCGGGTGTCCCTTGTGTCAGTAGGAGTGAAAGTCCGGTTCCCGTCCGCCGGTGGCCAGGAGGTGTCCCAGTTGAGCCGGGCGGTGTCCTGGGTGTCCCTGGTGTCCCGGGCGTCCCGGCGCTAACGCATGTCGCTAATTTCATAATCAATGTGTTTCGGCGCCTGCGGCGGACTTTCTTATCCAATTCAGCTCATCTTGTCCAATCCATCTTGTCCAATCCAATACATCTTATCTTATCCAACCCATATTGTCCCATCTTATCTTATCCCACCCAATCCAATCCACCCAACCCAATCCATCAATTCACTTGTTTCTGCGCCTGCGGCGGGCCACGCCACTCCATCTTATCTTATCCAATACATGTCTTCCAATACAACCCATATTATCTTATCCAAGCCATCTTGTCTTATCCAATCCCCCCAAACCTCCTCATCGCCCGCAGGGCGGCCGTATAGGTGTGTGTATATATATACACATATATACATATATATATATATATATATATACATACATACATATATATACACAGATCTCTCTTTCTCTCTCTCTCTCTCTCTCACTCTCTCGGGGGAGTTTCCGAGACTGCCCGGACCCGCTCCCAAACACGCCACGACACACCAAGAGGGCCCTAAAGATTGCCAAGAGCCCCAAGAGGCTCCGGACATGCCGAAGATGGCCTCAGGACGGCCGACAACGTCGCCGAAACGCCCCAAGAGCGCCTTCAGAGGCCCCTCCAAAGGGCCCCAGAAGCCGAACATGATGACATTTTCCACTGGTTTTTGAAGCATTTTTTGTGCTCTCGCATGTTCCGCCTCCCCACGATCCCGGACGGCGTCAGAGGCCCTTCAGATCGCTCCGAGACGGCCGAACAGGTTTCCGAGAAAGCCAAGAGACGGCCCAGGAGGCTCCCCAGATAATTCAAGAGCTCCTCGAGAGCGCCCCAAGAGAGCCCCAAGAGCGACCCAAGAGGGCCCGAAGAGCGCGACATTTCAAGGTCTCCGGCCTGAGAGGCTCCTAGCACGCCCCCGGAGGCCATCAAGAGGCTTCCAAAAAGCCCCGTGAGGCTCCCAAGAGGCCCCCCGGAAGCCCCAATAGGCCCCCAAGGGGGCCCCTAGGGAAGCCTCCTGTGGTCAGGCCCCCGGGAAGCCCCAAGAGGCTTCCAAGAAGCCCCCAAAGACTCCCAATGGGCCCCAAGAGGCAACCACGAAGTATCCAAGAGCCCCCTTAGAGGCCTCCGAAAAACTTCCACCACCCATATCCGAACAGGCATCCAGCAGGCCACTAGCCCATCACCCAGGCATGGCGGCCTCAGGTCGACAACCCCAGTTACCAAGACGCTCGGTCTTGGAGAGGGATGCTGAGGGCGAGGGGGACGACGACGAAGGCGACGACGATGGTGGCGATGACGCTGACGATGGCGATGATGACTACAACGACGACGACGACGACGACGAGGATGATGATGATGATGATGATGATGGTGATGATGATGATGATGACGATGGCGATGATGATGATGATGATGATGACGACGACGATGACGACGACGTTGATGATGATGATGATGATGATGATGTTGATGCGGGTGACGATAATGACGATGATAACGATTGCGATGATGACGACGGTGATGACGATGGTGTTGCTGATGGTGGTGGTGATGATGATGGTGGTGATAGTGATGGTGATGGTGATGATGACGATGACGATGACGATGACGATGAAGATGCTGGCGATGAGGATGGCGATGGTGGCGATATCGAGGATCCCAGCTATAGTTTGAGCGCGCGCGAATCGCGCGCGGTGTTCCCAGTGTTTACATATATATATATATATATGTACGCATGAACACCGCCATCCCAGGGAGCCACAAACGCAAAAGCCATTCAGGTTTCTCCATACTGAATAAATCTCACGCTCGTCTCCTTCGGATGGCTTCGGGAGAGCTTCACATGGCGCCGAGGCTCGAGACGGCCCCACAAGTTCGAAGAAGAGCCCAAGAGGGGCCCAAGCGGGCCCCAAGGCTTTGAAGACAGCCCAAACAGGAAGATCCACAAGAGACCCGTCAATTTCAAGCCAGCCCACTTCATGTTGAATACCTTCCCACGCCGGCCCTGAACAGTTCGAAGCCCCCGCATAATCCCAAGCAAGACGAGGCCGTCGATAAGAAAGAGAAACGAAAAGCGAGGACAACCGAGAGAGTCTGGAGGGTTAACGAGGAAGGCGATATTGGAGAACGAGGCAAGGCATGGAATGAGCCTGTCCGAAAAACACGCGCAGCTATCAACACCATGGCATTCGCTAGAACCCAAGCGCGCGCGAAGCGCGCGCGCGGTTCTATTCTACATAATACACATAAAATACCGCCCCCACCCCCCGGCCCCGGGCACCAAGGAATCCGGGAAATTGGGATTTGGGTTAGATGCTCATCCACTCAGAACCAAGCGTGTCCATCCCTCGTTCAAGTACCGTATGGGATAAGTAATGCTGGAGTATTTACTTGCATGGCACTGCAGCCCAGGGTAGCAGCGCCTTTCACGCAGCAATATCCAGCGAGCTGCAGCCCAAGGTAGCAGCTCATGTACAGGGCTGGCCGCTGCATCCCCGGCACTGTCTGCTCAGAGCAAACGAGAGAAGATGCCCGCGGCAGAGCTATCATAGAGAAACAGCATGGCGGGCGGACGGACGACGGACGTCGGACGACGGAAGAAGACGACGGGACCGCCCATGGGGGAGGGGACCTGGGGTAGCCCTGGGGTGGCCCACTTTTCCCACTTTTCCCAAACTCCCCCCGTCGCAACAAAATTTGCCCCCCCTTGGCTCCGGGATCCGCTTTGGGGTCTTTGGGTGTTTCTTTCGGCCTGAAGAGGGTTTCGAGCTGGTTCAGGAGGACGCCCGCTGGCCGCAAAGATGGCCGCTTAATGGTCCAAAACGCTCCAAGATGTTTCAAGGCGGCCCCCAGGGGCCACAAGATGCCCCAGTGGAATTCCCAAAGGCCCTCCCAATTTACCCCAGAGAGCCACAAACGCAAAAGCCATTCAGGTTTCTCCATACTGAATAAATCTCACGCTCGTCTCCTTCGGATGGCTTCGGGAGAGCTTCACATGGCGCCGAGGCTCGAGACGGCCCCACAAGTTCGAAGAAGAGCCCAAGAGGGGCCCAAGCGGGCCCCAAGGCTTTGAAGACAGCCCAAACAGGAAGATCCACAAGAGACCCGTAAATTTCAAGCCAGCCCACTTCATGTTGAATACCTTCCCACGCCGGCCCTGAACAGTTCGAAGCCCCCGCATAATCCCAAGCGAGATGAGGCCGTCGATAAGAACGAGAAACGAAAAGCGAGGACAACCGAGAGAGCCTGGAGGGTTAACGAGGAAGGACGTATAAGGAATATCGGAGGACTAGGTCAGGCAAGGCATGGAATGAGCCTGTCCGAAAAACACGCGCAGCTAACAACGCCATGGCATGCGCTAGAACCCAAGCGCGCGCGAAGCGCGCGCACGGTTTTATGTAATATGAAGAGATACCGCCCCTCCTTCCCGGCCCCGGGTCCCACACCTCCCCGCCACATCTCGGGGACGCTCCCGGTACCCCTCCCCGGGCCTTTCCGTGGAGCTTCCACAGCGTCCCAGGAGGGCCCAAGACGCCTCCCAGGAGCCCCCAGAATTCGAAAGGATGGTCCAAGACGCTCCCGAGCAGCCCAAGTCAGCCTTCCGACGGCTCTCGAGGCTCCAAGGTGGACTCCAAGAGACCCCAAGAGAGGTCCGAGAGGCGTCCCGGTACGGCCCGAAGAGGCCAACATCGTAGATGTTCATTGGTTTTTGTTCCATGTTTTTGGCTTCTCGCGTTTTCGAGCTTCCAATGGTCCAAGGGCGCCGAAGAGGCTCCCGAGACCGCCCAAGAGACCCTCAGGACGGCCCCAAGACGGGCCAAGAAGGCTCCAATATTGCCGAAGAGGCGCCCAGGACTGCCCTAGACCACCTCAGAACAGGCCCAAGATGGACCCAAGAGCGGGAGCAGGAGGCTTCCAGAGACCTCCGAGAGGCCTCCAGGACCCCCCAGAGGCCCCCAACACACCCCCGATCCTTGAGAGGCCCCCAAAAGACCCCGACGAGGCTCCAAGAACAGCCCAAGAGAGCTGCGAGAGCCGTCCCGAGAGAGCCCAAAGAGGGTAAAATTGTTGATTTCCCATTGTGTTTATGATGTTTTTCGCCTTCTCACGTTTTCCCGCTTCCAACCCTCGAAGATCCAGGATTTTGAAACAAAAAAGGGGATTCCCAGAATGCCTTTTTTTTCAAAGTGGAACTCCTGCTCGGGGGTCCTGCACATCCCCTGACATCTGGCCGGTACCGCGCCTCCCGGCTTCCCAGGGGGAGACCCCAAGACGCCGAAGGACAGCCCATGACGACCTCAAGGAGCCCCTAGAACGTAAAGAACGGCCCAGCACGCTCCCGCGCAGCCCGAGACGCCCTTCCAGCGGCTCTCCAGGCTTCCAGGAGGTTCCAGAAGCTCCAGGGGGTCCGAAAGATCCCACACCCCTGAGGGGCCCGGCTAACAAAACCCGCGAGGCACAAACAAAACACAGCGCTGAACAGCGCCGAGGAACTGGAGAAACATGGAAATCCTTGAATTCCTTTTTTTCACGTTTTGCCCCCAACAGACCACAATTCAGACCCCCCTCACCTCCCCCAAAAGAACCCAGGAAGCTTTTGAGGGCCCAAACTCGTTGAATACCTAAAGGAAGTTAATGACTTCTGCGTTTCCGCACTTCCCCTTCTATACGATTCCGAGGCTTGAACAGGGCCTCCAAGGGAGTCCCTGGACGCAAGAAGCGACCCAAATGATATTACATGAGTAAGCCTATAAGCCTAGCTAGAATGTGAGCGTGCGCGAAGCGCGCGCGATGGTTCTAGGATACATGTATATATATATGTATATATATGCATAGATACGATAGTCGCTCGCGTCCTCTCGTTGATATTACTATAGATGGATCGGGGACAGGATGTTTTTGCGGGCCACTCGGTATGACAGTCGCGCGCGGTCGTGTCAGTCTGCCAAGACCAGCTTTGCTCTCTGACTTTTTGCATGTTCAGCGCGCGGTTGGTGCAGCTCCCGTTTGACGCGTATTTGGCGCGTCGACTGTTTCGCCGTCTGGTAACTGACTTGCTCCCTGGTTGTCAGAACTTGCGGCAAAATGTTGGCTGTGGTGCGCCATGTTGAATGATATATTGGACTAATGTTGACTATGTTGAGCCCGTCCTTGGAAGCATCGTGGACGCTTCAGCCCCTCGCGAGGGGACCCATGACCACAGGGAGAGTGATGATGAAGAAGCCGTTGTTTTGGAAAAGGCGGCACCATAAACTATCTCTGCGCAGAGTGCTGGTGGGATTTGTCGTCGTCGCTCTTGTCTCCTAAATTGTGTGTTCATGTATCGGGTTCTCAACTGTTTGTCAATTGCGCGCCCATGTTCCTGCTGCCCGTCACAGCCAACACACGAGCATTTTTCCAGAAAAACGTCGATGGTAACATTCCATGGGAGACATCTACGTGCGCGTTGAGGCAGGTGTTTCAAACGAGACGCGAAAACATCCAGGAGGATGCTTCGCCAGGCCATTCCAGAAGATACGGGCCCTGGGGGCCGTAAACACACCATTTGCCCCATCCCCGCCGGACCCAGCCTCTATCCCAAGCATGTTATCTTTCTTTCTCACATCCCTTTACTTTTCTGCAAGGAAGGTGAGGAGGAGAAGGAGGAGGAGGAGGAGAAGGAGGAATGAGGAGGGGGAGGTATCTCCCCAACTTGGATTCCTGTGGTCTTGAGGTTGAGGCCGACCTGGGAACGCTGACCTGATGAGACTTCTTCGGCCCTGCCACACGTTCGTACCCTGGGCGGTCTGACTTCTTGAGACCTCTTAGAGGACCACACGAGGCCTCCGAAAAGTCCCCTCGATTCCCCAGGAGACCCCTGGAGGTCCCGAAGAGGCCCCCAGGATCCACGACGAGGCCCCGAGAAACCCCAAGAGGCCACGCGATTCTTGCTCCGACGTTTTACACGTAACCGCTCAAACACTAGGCGGGAGGACGCACATTGGATTGTCACGTGCGTAGGAGCCCTGTCGTTGTTCGTCGTCGTCTTTTTTCGATACCTCTTGTTGTTTACCTGCTTCTCCTCATGTGCTGCGGGTCACTGGTTGCTCGTCATTTGTTTCTGCGCACCTGTTGCCAGTCTTTTTGTTGGTCATCTGTTGCCGACCACCCGATGCTCGTCCTTGTTACTGGTATCGCGTCCCTGCTGCTAGTACCTGCTGCTGTTTGCCTGTTGCTTGACACCTATAGGTGGTCGCCTGTTGCCGGTCACCTTTGCTGGTGACCCGTTGCTGGGCACGTGGTGCTTGTCACCTGTTGCTGGGCAGCTGGGGCTGGTCACCTGTTGCTGGTGACCTCTTGCTGGTCACCCGTTTCTGGTCACGCGCTACTCGTCTCTGCTGGAGAAAACTTATTTTTGTTACGAGCAAGGCGTCTTCGTCTTCATGCTTAGAGGTTCGATGTTCCACGTTCGAGTGTTTTTCCATCGCTTTTTGTACCGACGTTTACATGTAGCCGCTCAGAAACTGTGCGAGAGGACGCGCGTTTGATGCTCACGTGCGTAGGATCGTTGTCGGTGCTTATCGTCGTCGTTTTCCGATCCCTGTTGTTGGTCACTTGCTTCTCATTACGTGTTGCTGTTCACTTGTTATTCGTCACTTGTTTGTGGGCTCTTGTTGCCAGTCTTTTTGTTGCTGGTAATCTGTCGCCGACCACCTGATGCTCGTCCTTGTTGCTGGTATCTCCTCCCTGTTGCTGGTACCGCTGCCGATTGCCTGTTGCTTGGCATCTGTCGGTGGCCGCCTGTTGCCAGTCACCTTTCCTGGTGACCTGTTGCTGGGCACGTGGTGTTGTTCACCTGTTGCTTGGCAGCTGGGGCTGGTCACCTGTTGCTGGTCACTTGTTTCTGGTCACGCGCCACTCGTCCCTGCTGGAGAAATATTCAGTTTTTTCGAGCAAGGCGTCTTCGTCTTCATGCGTCGAGGTTAGATGTTCCACGTTCGGGCGTTTTTGTTCCATATTTGTTTTTGTCCCGACGTTTTACACGTAGCCGCTCAGACACGGTGCGAAGGGACGCGCGTTTGATGCTCACGTACGTAGGGTCGCTGTCGTTGTTCGTCGTCCCTGTTGTTGGTCATTTGTTTCTAACCACGTGTTGCTGCTCACTTGTTACTCGTCACTTGTTTCTGGACTCCTATTGCTAGTCATTTGTTGCTGGTCATCTGTCGCCGACTACCTGATGCTCGCTTCTGCTGCTGGTGGTCGCTTGTTGCCGGTCACCTCTGCTGGTCACCAGTTATTGGGCACGCGGTGCCGGTCACCTGTTGCTGGGCACGTGGTGTTGGTCACCGGTCGTTGGTGACCTGTTGCTTGTCACCCCTTTCGGGTCACGCGCGATTCGCTTCTGTTTGCACCTGTGTATCTCGTCATATGCTGGTAGGCACGTGTGGTCTCAACCAGTTGTCGGTCACGAGTTGCGGTCACTTGTCTGCGATTTTCTACAGGAGGGGGCTCAGCCCATGTGGAGGGAGAGACGTGTAGCCGCCCAGTGGGATGTTCATCGAATCTCATAGTGGCCTTATTCGACTGATCATTGGGAGCCGGAAACCAATTTATCCATCTTCATCCTTACCAAATATTTTAATTAAGATAGGCTCTCAGGACCCTCGCATACCTGGAGCCAATCGCACTGATGTGTACTTGTCTCACACCGTCCTTATCAGGCCGTATACTTTTCCCAATCCAAGTGCGCTGCCGCGCGGGCTTTCCGTCGACGCGGGGCCGTTGTGTAGCACCGTGGCCGTTTGGGGCACAGGTGTGTTTCGCTTCCCGGGCGCCTCATTGGGGCAACGCTTGGTGCGATTTCTTTTGCGCCCGGGGTTTGAAAAAGCATGGGATTGGAGTAACATGCGCCTGTTGTTCTCGATCAGAGGACGTGACACCGCCGCTCCGTGGAGGGGATTGCCCCAGAAAGGGATGTGGTCAGGTTCATCGGCCGCTGCAACGGCTGAGGCGGATCACCTAAGTGAGCGAATGCAAGGTTGCGCAGGCGCGTACATTATGAAGAGATGTCTCGACATTTGCGCAGTCTCGGGCGTCATTGGACACTCCGCCGAGGAGACACGACTGTTCTTCACTTGAGTTTGTTGGGAGTGCGGGCAGCAATGCTGCAACAATGGCACGAGTCCCTGGACCAGCCGTCAGAAGTTTGCGCTTCTTCCAGCCTGACGAAGAAGACCGCCGGGAAGGAGGTGGAGTCGGCACCGGACGTGGTGTCTTGGAGGAACGCCTGGGATGAGTATGTGCGCGGAAATGTCGCCGGTGATGCCGCTGCTAATTTCATCTGGATGTTCCTGTTGAGCACGATGGCCTCGTCGGGGAAGGCTGTGGGCGACGAGCATAGCGAGGTGGACGCTTCGGATGATGAGTCCGAGCAAGCTCCGCTGAAGCTCCCGCCCCAGAAATTTCAGGAATTGTTCCTCTCGGCCAAAGAGGGCGAGAACCTCGGAGAGAAGTGGGTGGACTCGGCGAAAGCCAAGGCGAAAGCGACAGAAACCGGCCCGGCGAAGAAAATCGCCCAATTCCACGAGTACGAATACAACCATAGCATTGGAAAGAGAGAGAGAGAGAGAGAGAGAAAGAGCGTGGAAGACAGCCCCATCGGGCGTGGAAGCAGGCGAGTGAGCATGCCGGGGCAACATGTTCGAGGACCCGTGTGAAGACCAGTTGGCGGCGTTATCCATGCGTGCCAAGCGCACAGATGCACGCGGAGTTCCTTTTCTACGAAATGCGCGATGCTGTTGCGTCGTATAACCTTGCAGGGCATTCCAAGTTAAGCATTGGCAATGTTTGGGCGTCCATCATGGCGAGCTCGAAGAGGCCGAGCGAGAAACAGCGAGAATTTCTGGGGCATTTCGTTCGACGATTGCAGGTGGAGTGACCCGAGTGGCAACAAGGCAACGTCAACCAGAGTCCCGGAGAGCTTCTGCTCGACGTAGTGCGCGGCTTTCCGGACACCGTGAAAGCGCCGTCATCGGGTGGATGCGGCAGCGCGACGTTCAGTTTGTTGGCTTGGCGTTTCAAAACGCAATGGCGGCGCAGATTAACCGGCGCGCAGCGCACTGCTGGAGCGGCATTTCTGCGCAGAACGACGACGGGAATGTTGTGGGCGACGAGCGCAAGCAGTCCATACAGTGCTGAGCCATGCGCGCGATCATCATCGATGATGTTCCGCGGGGAGGGCGAGGGGCGAGGGCGATCATTGGGCGGGGGGCATTGACCAGGGGAGCTCCAGTCTCAACGAGCAAGAGGAGAGGGAAGCCGAAATGACGGCGTCCGGAAACCCAGAGCTCGTAGAGGTTCCGAGCACGGATCTAGGATACCCAAAGAGAGTCCCCAGAGGAGCCCAAAGGATACCCCGAGACGGCTCGACAAAATCTTCGCGCTTTTCGCAACCTCCGAAGGGGGCCCGAACAAGCTCCAATGGAACCGCTTCATTGCCATCCTGATCGACTCCTGGGCCCCCGAAGAACGGACAGCGAGCGTATCTCAGCCACTGGCGCGACAAAAATGATGCGTAAACGCGAGAAGAAGCGCTGCGCCGATGCAAAGCCTTCCGCAGGTGAGCGCGATGCTAGCCGAGCTGCTCGGCGCCCTGGAACGAGTGGCTCGCGCCGCTGCATGGGCGAGGGGCACGCGCGAAAAGAGACCGGCCGACTCGGGGCGCGCCTTCGGGGGAACGAGCGTGGCAATGCGCGCAGATTTCTGGCAGCTGCGCCCCGTTAGCGCCCGATACTAGGCCTCCCAGATGGGGCCCGAGTAGATGGGGTCGGGGGATCGTGCCGCATCGCCGACGCATTGGTGATGCATCGGCGACGCGGCTCGATGCGGCCCCCAATTTTCTCCGCGCCGACGTCGCCGATGCATCGCCAGTGCGTGGCCGGTGCATCGGCGATGCGTCGCCGATGGATGCATCGGCGATGCGGCGCGACCCTCCGACCCCATTTACTCCGACCCAATCTAGGAGGCCTCCACCAACCAAGTGGATGCGCCGGCAGGGCGCGCCCACCGCGCGCTGGGGCCGATCTGGCAGGACGGGGCAGCGTGCGATCGTTCTGGCAGTTCGCAGAACTGACGAGGTGCGACGATGAGTGGAACTGCCCATGGGGTGCAAAGGCCACTGCCACGGCCCCCCGACGTTGACGCCCCCTTGCGCGGGCAAGCGCGGCTGCGGCGACGACGCGGCGGAC